TGAGATATCTAGAGAAGCACTCAAATTACAGGTCATAAAATAAAATATGCAGGAAGTCTGACAACCTGTCAGCCAAAATTTAGACATATTACTAAATTATGAAACAATGAAATCTGAAGTACCACAAAAGCAAGCGTCAAGTTCATCTGACCACCCATTTAAAGTTTAGTGGGGTTAAAATTGAAAAATAGAAAATGAGACAGAAAGGAAACTTGAAGAAGCTGACCGGCTGACTTCTGAAACGTGACAATCTTCTCCACAAATCCATGAGGAGAAAAAACTTGATGAAGCACGTCCACTGTAATAGGATATAGCATGTGATGGATTGTAACTAAGAGAATTCGATTTGGCTGTGCATCCAATGAGTGCCCAAGAGCAAACCACCATAGAGACAGAAGAGAGAAGAGAATAAATAGGAAGTATAGAATGAACAATGAATAATTATTAACCAGACAGTCTACTTATGTTGATGAGAATAAAAGCGCAAGCATGACAAAGTTGAAGGTAAGATGGTTTATACTTTCTCTTGTGCCACACTAGCACCACCTTAGTCCAACTATAGGATGCATCTAACAACTAAAATAGTTCTAAATGCAGGAGCAAAGAACAACGGTGAAAACTTGAAATAACTATTTCATATTCTAGAAACAAAAAAAAAAGGAGAAAAGAAAAACAGAGAACCTATGTAATTTGGAAAAGTATGTCTGTCATCCCTATGAAATTTGCCAAATTATGTTAAGACTGTCTCCACTATTACAAATTCAATTCCAAAACTATATAGACAAATACAAGTTACAACTTTGTTAACCTAATCTAATGCTACTAAAGTAGAGGAGCTTAACAAGAAAGATGACGTAATACAAAAAGAAATTTCATTAGGACTGCATTTGGGAAAGAAATTACTAGAAAAACATAATACACATGGAGAATGCTCTCAAAAATTTAAGGGAGAATAATTTTGGAAAGATGGTAAACAGGTTGATGGTAGAATTTGCTAAAACGGTGAAAATGATTACCAAAAGTAAGGCTTATGAGAAACTTGCATGCCAATACAATTCATACAGAACAAACAGAATTAGCCACATGTAAAGTTACTAAAACCAAATCAAACCAACAAGTTAGATACATGCTCTGCAAATGCAGATAATATCCATTTAATTTTCAGCGATAAAAAGTTGCAAGACTACACAACTTCAAGAATTATGAGAGTTAGAATAGAAAATAAGCATAACTTTTTCTCATCTGCTCACTATGTTGTTAGGATGTTTGGCTTAGGTCAAAAGCACTCATAGGCACCCAAGTCAGTATACTTGCACCATTGAAGCGGGTAAAAGCACCAGCCTGACTTTTTTCCGTGTGCTTAAAGTGTTTGTTTATGGAGAAATTATCTTGTATGTTAGGTACCTCATTTCTATTAGTAATTTGATAAAATAGTTCAACTCTATAAATTTTATTGGTCAACTTATATTATTCTCGAACTACTAATAAAATTAGATAAATTTTTATCCATTTTAATATGTTCAATAGTACCTATTTATCCCATAACTATGTTGCTTATGAGCGCCTAAATTTTAAGCACATTTTTTAAAGGAATTCCACATTGTCTAATTAATAAGAGCTTCTACTTCACAAGAAAGAAATAAAGGTGAACCCACCATATCTTTAGATAGTGTGAGGCCAAGATATATCCTGCATTAAAGGAAGACTAGAAGATTCTCTCAGTAATTTTTGACAAGCTAAGCATCTAAATGCTATACATGTATATATGCTCCTCAACAACTAAAGCAATGTCAATAGACAACATATAGAAACTACTTATCCACTAAGTCTCTATCAACCCATGTCAGAAGTATTTATGACAAGAAGACAGATCCACCAAGAGCTGTTTCTGGAAAACACCAAGAACCAACCAAACTTTTCTTTCAATATCAGATTTCAAAGCACTAACCTCATCACCTCGTCCTTGAGAATTTTGATCCATTGTTGTTAATTCTTGATGTGATGAGAACTGAACGTAAACATTCCTTCCCCTGGTAAAGAATGGAAAGTTTTCAAATCATGAATACAAATTTAAGCTAAAGCATAGAAAAGGCAAATGTTGACTTTTAGCTCTATTGTCGCGAATATTCTTTTCTTCATGTCCATAACAAGGGACGCATAGCCCAGGGCTTGAACTCACATCCTCGTAAAGAGGGGTGAAAATATGAACCCCCAACCAAGGGGAAGTTGTGCCAGCAAAATACTTAATAAAGATAAAATGGAATATCAACATTGCCAAGTTACAAAAATTTATATGCCTTATGCTTGGCTGAACATTTGTATAGAACTGCAGAGCACTGATGGCTGAAGGAATATCCTGCATTTGCAGAAGAGCCTGCATGCATAACCTATTTGTTAGAAAAGGCTTGCCACCAAGCTTCAACCTAGACATTTAACTCAACCATATAGATGGGATAAAACCTGATTTTTTGCTCTAAGCATCACAAGCTTAGTTATGACTCCAAAAGGCTGGAATAGCTGAAGCAAATCATTCTGGTAAAAAGGATGAATGACAGTGAATCAAATGGCATTTAAAAAATATATCATAAGCATTTAATTTAGGTAAAGGTTTATTTTGCTGTTTGAAGTTTGACAGTCAATTGCAAATAATGCTGATCCTGTTAAGAATACAGGGTAGTGCTACATTGCAGGTTGCAATGGCAAAATCTCATATTAACAACACATTCTAATTAGATTTTTCCAATCTAAGTGAACTGCAACAGCAACAGGGAATAAGATTTGAAGAGAATATTATCAGTACCTCAAATCAAACGATAGCCATCATACCCGAAGCCAGATCACAATATGACAGCCACACAGCATGGCAACACCAACTCTAACTCCAAGCTAAACGGAAATTTTCTTTCAAACCTTTATCCGTTTTTCCTGACTAACAATAAACTACAATAACTCTTTGATTTGACCTAGCTTCTGATAGTATGTACCGTTTCTCTTGGTTTTTGGCAATAATCAATCAATGTCGCTAATGGTTTGTAATTTGTTAAGTTCTTACGAGCAATGTCTATCCAATTCCCAAGAAACAAAATTTGTATGCCTTCCAATCAAATTTTCAACTTTTACTGAAACATTAGGAGCACTGCCCTTTCATTCTTCTTAGAGTCAGCCAAAATATCCTTAAGGCCATTCACTAATAGCTTGTCATGGTTAAAAGTTTAAGTTATTCAGCAACACAAGTGTGTCAATTCAATAAAAAGCACACACACGCACAGACACAAAAACACACCCATAGGCACACACACACACACAGACACAGAGAAAGAGAGGGAGGGAGGGAGGGAGAGAGAGAGAGAGAGAGAGAGAGAGTACTTCTGAAATTTCATGCCCAACATTGCGGACGTGAATGACTTTGGAAGGTTCTGTCATTTTGAACTGGCCTGTAAAAAACCACAACATATCTAATCCGTTATTCTGGTATTTGAAATCTCACATTCTGCAGTTTTCTACTACTCTACTCTGAAAGCCAGCAATTTTAACATTTGTTTCTTCGCTTCAAGCCATAACAGTGTTACTTAACTAATATCGGTATATATACTCAAAAAGTAAAAATTACTTTCTGGCTCAACCCAGCCTTACAAAGTATTAAGTTTCCTAAAAATAACTGAACTTGTCTGTGTGGATAGATAAGATTCTTTTATTTCTCTTTATGCTAATAACATTTTTTGCGAATTGAGCGTATGTAACAAAGAACTCACGCAAATCCAAGGAATCATTCAAAACCCTAAATCAGAAAAAAGAGCACGCTTCGAACTAAAACTTACGCATGTACATTAATTGAACTGTTTGTCAAATAATTCAGGGAAAAAGCGAGAGAAAATTATTTTCTTCAAAAACAAAAGAAAAATGACAGAATACTGCTTGGTAGCTGAAAAAAAGTCGTGAAAAATGCAGACGGTGACCTCCAATCGGATAAATAAAGATAGCGAATCTTTTCCCAGCCAATTTCCGCAGCAACCAAACAGGGAGAGTATTATTAAAAGTGCCGAGTGAAATCAAAACCCTAAGATGGAGAAAGAAAACTTGCCTCAGAACAAGTCGTTAAGAGAGATGCAGAGAGTTGAAGAGAGAGAGAGAGAGAGAGAGAAAGAGGAAGAGAAAAAAAGAAAAAGAGAGACTCAGAGGTGTATAGATCGAATGCTTCGCATGTTGTCCCTGCCGCTTTGCCCTATCTATTTCTCTCGCCCTAAGTAGTCCCTTTCAGCACTGGAGTTGTGGGACCCATTGTAAAAGGGTCCCACTTTATCAGTTTTAATTTTATTTAACTCTCTCTTCATCCTCAATAATTCTCGTCTTCGATAATCTTAAAAAAAAAAAAAAACATTTTTACTAAAATTTACTTTAAGGAAGAATATTAATGCTTTTGTTAACTAGGTTTTGAACGGTTCAAGTTACAAATTTAGAACTTTGATTTTAAAAAATCATATTTAAATTAATTAAAAATGATAAAATTTATTTTCAAAAGCATAGAAGTTAACTTCATTTATTTACGATGTATATTTCCTATCCTACACATATTTTAATAAGGAACGAGATTAATTTTTTTTTTTTCTATTGGAATGTACAACCCCTTTTAATTAATTACCCTATTGAACAAAATTTATAAATAAATTTTATCAAATTTTTTAATTTATTTCAAATATAGTCTAATTTTATTTTAAATAATAATCAATAAGTTGTTAATTTTTTATCTTAAACTAAAAGTATTATTACTAAGTGCATGCTTGCCTTGATAATTATTCGTGCAAATTTTCTTATATACGAAATGATTCAATATGGAGAACATGTTATCAAAAGATAACTTCTAAAATCTAGTAAAAGTGCAAATATATATTAACTTATCTAGCCTTTATGATTTTAAAAAATTATAAAACATGAATTTTTAACTATATACTTCTCAAAAAAAATTTATGATCGAACTTTTATATTTAAACATAAACTTTATAATCCAACTATATTGTTGGCTCTTTAACTTCATGATGAACTACAATAAGGTTTGACATCCTCTTGATAAACTCATTGTCTTTGGCATTAATCTCTTCCTCTGCACCTCTGTCAACATAGATGCCAAACTCTTCCTTCCCATCCCTTAACTCTTACCCTTTATCCTATGACAATACTCATATACTCGGTAGAGGAGTTTGTCCTCCACTCGTTAAATA